TATATTCAAACTGTTTCCAAGAATGTTACAGCCCAGAGTCAAGGTAACAGGACAATTCATTTGGTCGCTTTTGAACGGCATCATATCTGATTTAACCGTGGTTTTGTCTCTGCTATATCTTCCGGGTCAAACAACGTAAGACAAAGGAAAAAACAAGGAAAAGCCAGTTAGCCATTTAGTCCATACATTTTTGCCCCTCTTAGTTAATACAATTTTACTGGAAATTTTGTATTAATCACCCTCTCTCTGCCTATTTGTCTTTTTAGGGGACACAGCAGTCTATAAAGATGGTGCATATTGGATCATGGGACGTACCAGTGTTGACATCATCAAGAGCGGTGGCTACAAGATCAGTGCTCTCGAGGTAGAGCGCCACCTACTGGCACATCCAGCCATTATAGGTAGGAGAGCTGAACAGGTTTAGTCTGTAAATTTTAGGACAATAATGCACTTTTATGATATCTCTGTTCTGCAGGATACAAATTAAATCACTATATCATGACATTTATGGGCCTTTGCATCAATTTTGTATCGAGACTTACAGCTGTTTTTAAACATAATCTTATTCCTCAGTCGAGGAAATGAAATAAGACAATGATGCTGCACAAACAAGATTATGGAGGAGAATTTTATGACCGAGCAGTGGGATGCTACAAAGAGAGGTGTAATTTCTACATCTAATGTGCATGTAAACAACCTTTGATTACAATTAAGTGTCAGCACCTCTAATCCCAATAACTGCTGCGTTTTAAAACCAATGTGTTTAAGTACAGAGCAGACACAGCAAAACATGGCAGTGTCCTACAATTCTAAGATGAAAGAATTTGAGCAGCTGAAACTTAACAACAACGCGTCTGCTTCGTGTGGTTTTAACTTCACAGATGTGGCCGTCATCGGGGCCCCAGATGCCATTTGGGGTCAGAAAGTCACTGCAGTGGTGGAGCTGAAGAAGGGCCAGAGCATGACCCTGCCGGAGGTGAAGACCTGGGCAAGGTACTGTGACTTTCAGCTATGTAATAATTCCCTTCCTATATTTGTTTATACTTGACTTCAGAATGATGTTAAAATCATGACACAGTCTGTTAACAGATCAATAACTAACCTTTAGGCATATTACTATTGTTACAGGGTTAGCAACATATAAGCCCTGAAACAGCAATTGTGTTGTTCACAGCCATTAAAGTAGGGAATTAGGGAATATGCTTACAAATAAATGGTAAGAATCCTGCATCCTTGTCTGAGCAGACAACAGCACTGCTTAAAAAATGTGCAGCCGCTTTATTCTTTTCTGGCACCTGTCATTCGTCTCTCTTCTTCTACTGTCCACTGTGAAACTAAACAGAAATTATAACAGAAAAAAAAGATGCAGATTTGGTCTGCAAAAATATTGGACCTGACTCAAGTTTTGCCATAAAGGCCTTAACATGTCAATGGTGACACAAAAAAACGACGGAAAAAGGGGGTGATTATTTACATACGCAAGGTGTGATTTATATTATAATTTTGAAAAAATCACTCATTGAGAAAAAAAAGAAAGTGAAGCTGATCATGTCCTTTTACTTAATAAATAGAAAAAACAAGAAATACCTGGATGCACCTAATAATGAGGAGGAGGAACTCAATTAGGCCACTGACTTAGGTCCAAAAAAATAAAACCGCAAAATCATAGACAGTTTGCTGTTCGCTTGCATTGACTAGATACAGCTTTTAAAAATATGAACATTAATTGCACGGCAGTTTAAAACATGTATTTTTATCACTGCTTTGATTTGACAAACAGAACATTGTCACTTTAAATTTGCACTCGACAAGTTGAAGGATTATAAAAAGTTTGCTTTGATATTTTATTTTTAAATCTTTGTACTTGGTGTCTAAAAAAAATACATATATGTATAAACATGGATATATACATTAACTTGCCTTCCTGGATTATATTTGATCTCGATAGTACCTGAAACAATATGTTGGTTACGTCCACACCAGCGCAGCCCTTTGCTTTTCTTAGACCGTGTTGTTTTTGGTATGAATGACCAGTGAGGATGAAACCACTGGACCACCTGCCACCTTTAAAAGTGCTTTGTGGCAGCAGGTGGATTCCAACCAGTACCACCAGTGGAGACAGTGACCTGAATAACTTGCAACCAATCCATCATCCTGAATTCACAAAAACAAAACGCAAAAAAGGAGCGCTGTGTCCCGTTACTGCGAAAGACTGCTGACCCTGTCTTATTGCAGTGATTCGAGAAGACCATTTCTCAGTCCTGTGGTAAACAAATGAAGGCTCCTAACGCTCTTCCAGCAGTTCAGCACACACATCCCCAGTGACTGGCCCCCGAAGTCCTCAGATCAATAGGAAAGGATGTGAGCGAAAGAGAGGCCAGAAATAGACTAATGAGGGGAGCTGAAAGAAAGACAGGTGATGAAAAAGAGGAATATGTGTGAGAAGTGAACCAACGATAGATACAGCGAGCTTTGTCTTTTTCCCTCCCGTTCTAAATGTCACAGTTTATTTTGTCGAACATGGACAGATACTGTTGACATGCTGCCTTCCACTGTACGATGACACATCCCTATTTCTTTTTTTCTTCTTCTTCTCTTACCTCAATTTCATAAAATCCAGTTCCATTCATCTCTCCGCTATATTTTTTTTTTGTCATCTCCCCTATCCTTTTCTAACCTGAGTGGGTGGGGGGGTTGTGTACGTACACTGTGGGCCCCTATGGTGTGGGGGTGTTGGACTGCTGTGGACTGCTCGGCTGGTCCAGCATGGTGGATTACAACTGCTGCCTGTTACCCAGGATAACACACACACACGCACACATACACACTCTCATACACTCACTTACAAACACACACAGTGTTTCCAGCCACGGGTGCTGCCAGTGGACAGGCAGTGCCAGCGCACTGTGCTGTGGTCAGTGTGTAGAGGAGAGACATAAAAAGAGATGTAAACAAGTAGATGGATGCTCACTCTTCAGTGCCCTGGCTTCAGCTGTCAGTCTGAATCTCTATCACGCTCCCTGCGCCCCACGCAGCCTTGAACATGCACACACGAACATGCTGCCCCGGAGAAACCTATGACACGAGCGAGCCCCATTACAGAGATGTGTATGTATGTACAAATACTCGCTCACACTTCACTCAGAGAGACGGAGGGACAGAGACATCTGCTAAAAGTAGTGTTTGATGGCAGCAACATGAGTCATTATGCACTCCCGCACCACAAGCTCACACATACACACACACACACACACACACATGCACGCTCACAAACAAACAAACTAGGTTAGAAGATAATAAAAAAAGCTCCAGGCTTCAAGACTTGACGTAACAACCATGCACTCAAAATGGAAAAAATAAAACACTTTTAATTATCTCAGCCTTCTGTTTTTCCTTTTATTATTAGTTTTTTTTGTATTTCATCTCACAGTGATTATATTGTTTTGCACAAAGGGAATTGTCTGTGTCTGGAAGGCGAATTGGGGATATAAGGGAGGAGAGCTGCAGAGTGTATGAAGGACATTTCTTTCCTTATCTCGACTACTCTGCCACAGGGCTAGCCTTTGTTTTGCAGTTTTCTGTTTTTGTTTTTCCTTTTTTTGTTGTTGCATATGTGCCTGCGTGCGCACGTTTATGCATCCTTGAGTGTTATGTGTGTCCCTGTGCGTGCTTGTGTTAGTTTAGTCTGTGTGTGCGTTTCTGCCATAAACAGTCTTTTTATTAACACCAGTGTTTATTGCAGGGAACACATGGCTTCCTACACCATCCCCACAGGCCTGGTGCTGGTGGAGGAGATGCCCAGGAATCAGATGGGCAAGGTCAACAAGAAGGACCTCCTGCGACGCTTCTTCCCATAACCGGGCCACCTCGATACGTATGACAACAAACAGGTTCCTGGACACTTCCTGGCTGTTCCCGTCTGGTTCTTAGATTCAAATATCACAGGCAATAGTAGGCATTACAAAATAACGTATAAACAAGAAAAGAAATTAAGCTGCAAAGGTAATTCTAATGTGTTGAATGCCAGTTATCCTGAGAACACTTTATGTCTAAAAAGTTTAATGGACAATTTGAAACAGATCTTAATCGTGATGGTAAAATCATCTGATGTTGCATCAAAAATAGATTCAAAATTCCAACTAACCAACATGGTTGTGGCAAACAAACAATATGCAAGAAGTACTGTTAAATGGTATCCAACCTAATATGACCCACTTTTGTAGAAATTGCATTTGAAGCAGTGTCCCAGTTCCATACTACTATACACTATGAATAATAACTGGGGTTAGACTATGTAGTGGGTTCATACTGGAAAACAGAAGTTTATACTCTCAACAGACATAATGCAGATGACAGACACCTGATTTATAAGAGTGTGTTCAGCTATTGAGGAGACTCTCACAGCTACAAACTAAAAGATTATCCACCATGGCTCAACAGTCCCCTTATGAAACCACATTTAAATTCATTAGATCCATGTTTTTATTTGGATCTGCACACAATTTCACACACTCATAAACATCAGTCCCCTGAACATGTCAGATTTCTTTCCATTAAAATCTCTGAATTTTTTTCTGAGAAACTTAACACAAATATTGCAAGACATCCTATCTCGCAATGTTGAAGAAAGAGAAAAATATAATTGCATCAACCCCCTGATCAGCACCAAAATTTATTGAATTTCTCATTGACCCATACAAAATCCTTCCACCACAATGTATGGAAATTCATCCTGTAGTTTTTTCCTAAACAACAGACAGACTTATGCAGAAGAAAGCATGACCTGTTGGCAGAGGTTAAATGTAATTACTATAAACTGCAGGTGGTGGTGAGACAGCTCTTAAAAAATCAATATTATTTATTAATTACTTATTATCTATCCTCTTAATAAGTTCATTTGAAACCTTTGGTGCAGTTTGTGGATTGTTCTGTTTACGGTGTGTATACTATACAGTACTTATGTAGTACAGAAGTGGGGCAAAACATTTGACACACTTTCCTCAGAGTCCCCCAGCAGAACTGTGGGATCCACTGCTGCATCTGCCCTAATGAGATGTGAACAGCTAGTGCGTCGTCTGCTTTGACTCCACAAATCCTGTGCAGGATGTTCAACTTTTCCAAGAAATGAGTAAAACACAGCGGTACCTCTTGGTAAAGAGGGCTTTGGAAACTCTTATTTGTATATTCAGATGTTTTATTGGTGTGATCACATCATTTTGTTGGTAAGAGTGGTTAATTACACCCGAACAGACAAAATAAGATGATGTGATGGTGAGAAAAGGAGACATTGAAATGCGATCAGTGGGGAACATGGTTAAGATCCATTTCTTTGCACACACACACAGATGCACTTGATATGTTTATCTGAAAATTAAAAAAGTTTTTATAAAATATAAATTTCAAAAGTGTTCTTTTTTGTTTGCTACTTGCAGACTTCTTACATGTGTGTGTGTGTGTGTGTGCGTGCGTGTTCATGTGCGTGTCTGTGCAGCTGTGGTTACACAGGTGTGATGAGAGCCTGAAGGCAGATTCTCTAGTAGGGCACAACACCACAGCTGGATGCCCCGCACTCCATCTGACTAACCCTCTCTCTGCGCTCGCTCTTCTCACCTCTCGTCCTTTTTTCATCTCCGTTTCTCCAGATACTTCACCTCCTCTTTCTTCATCACAAGTCAAAATAGATTGCAATGGCAACAGGACCAACTTGACTGCGAGGCTCCTTTTGAATGAGCCAGAATAGGCAGCGAGTGCATGAAAAGATGAAAGAAAAGGCACAGAGAGGAGTTAAAACATAAAGCAGGACTGTCAGAGATTGGAGCTTTAACAAAAGCTGGCGAGAGAAAGTTGATATGAGGAGGGGATGAAAGAAATGAAAATGCAAAAGAAAAAGTCAGTGTGCGGTTTTGAATAAATGATACGCTAAAGATATGGAGATGAAGAAGGGGAAAGAGAGGATGTGCGAAAATGCGGTTGAGATAAACAGATGTGATGAACAGCCAGAGAACTAAAGAAAGAAAGAAACACAAAAACCTCCAGACAACCTCCCGTCCACACATACACACACAAACACACACTCATCCGCCCACAGTCACCAGAGACCTGATTAAGAGAGCAGAGCTATCGATCTGTGGGCTGGCAGGCTAGGATGGATGAGCAGGCAGGGCTGCAGGAGCACCAGAGGACAGCTTCGGTGCCCCCAAATCCCTCGTCGCCCCACCCAACCACCCACGCCTGAGCTGAGAGCCGGCCAGGGCCACGGGCAGGAGGGCCGGGCTGCCACACTGAGGCCACAGATGAGGGTCAGAACTGAAGAGTGTGGAGCTGGAGCACAGTTGTAGTTGATGTATTTTGGATGAGGGGTCTTCAGGACCAGGTTCCAGTGCTTGTGGGGAAACTAGTAGATATTCCCTCGACTCGAGCTTGACGGAGCACTCGTGCCCTTGAACCACCTCCACCTCCTCTTCTCTCCAACACACTTTCTCCCTGCCTGAGTCTGCTGGAGCATGGCAGAGGAAGTTGTCTGCAGATGGCTGCTTATTGGGCCCCAGGGTCCTGAAGGGTGGGTTATGGGGGACACCGGTGAGGTTGTTTTTGTGTGTCCTGTAGAGTAGAAAAGGTTCAAAGAGCAGGTGATGTTACAAAGAGATGAAGGAGAAGTTGGTATTCTCATGGTGCGATTTCACTTTTTATGTAAACCTCCTTTCGAAGGTGACATTTATTCCTCTGGACTAATTCCGCCTCCTGTCCAGATGACGGATACATCATCTCAGAACATGAATCAGGTGGCATCACAGGATAACAAAGGATTGAAAGCGAATTACACTTTTATTACATCGAGCGCACTGATTGAATTCCAGCTCATTCAATCACTGATTCATTTTCTCTGACCGCCTTTCAGAATCTTATCCCAGCATGCACCAGGCCGAAGGCAGACAGGAATGCTCGACAGTTTGCAGCTCACACTGGACGGAGACCAATGGTCACATAGTTCAGTTGTAACAAACAGAAAAAGGACACAGGTATGAATGAAAACAACAAATCTGTGTGAAAATGTGCTTCAGAGCAAAAGCAGTTGAAGAGACATGTATTGGCGGCTGAGGGGTTCCAGTGGTTTAACCTCTCATCTTGTTGCGGTGATGCAGACGCAGGATGCTTCAGTGCACTGTTGAGTGTAACCACATGTGCAACCAGCGTATTCTCATTAAACCTGGTGCCACAGAGTCCCTCTGATCACCATGAACACACCCTCAGCCGTCAGTGATACTTTTCAAAGTGGTATGAAATTAGTCATAAAACATGAAACAGTGGATTTAAGGCACAATTAGAACTGATGAGATGTTTGTTGTGAATTGGGTGAGAGGATCTATACGCGTCTCTTTCCTGTGTGTTGGATCCAGCAGCCAGTTGTTTCAGCAGAAGGACTGGATCAGAGGATACAGATAACCTAGAAGTTGCTGCTCAAAGGTTCTCAGAGGTGCTCAGAGGTTGTCCAGCAGTAAAACCACAGCTTCCTGATGTACACTTATTTTTACAGCTTGAAGAGACTTTATGTAAGTTGTCTGTGCCACCACATGTGGTTCACACCAGGAGTGGGTGGTGGTTACTTTTGAACAAAACCAAGGTAGTTCTTTCTCGTTTCCTGTCTTGGTTTTAAAGATTTTTAAATGACTCAGAGTTCAGATGATGATTTTTAGGCGCATATTATAAAAACAAACAACAGATCCCCGGCTGGTTTAGCAGAGGTTCTGGACAGGAGACGTGGTTGTGATTGACTGAGCAGGACAGGCAGATTGTGTCTTAACAGGAGTTCTGAAACCAGGCAGGTTGGAGAGGGTGACGGGCAGATGGTGAGGCTGGCAGAGACTCTGAACCGGACAGGCAGACAAAGACGAGGCCGGACGTGGTCGGTCACAGGCACAGCTGGGGTGGTGAACCTGAGGCAGAGGCAAACAAGTGTTTAATAGGAGCGAGCAGACCGACTGGCAAAGCATCAAAGCAAAGGTAAAGTGTGGCTATAACATTTGTACCACTGCTGGTGACTGAACAATCTGGTGAAGACTGGAGGGAAGATGATGGTTTAACTGCTGCGTCTCATGAGGAGCTGACTGACACACATGTACAGGACAAACAACACATTAGAGGAAGGATGGAAACACATGGAAACATGAGGGAAAGGGGGATACAGAGGGAAACCTCCACACATAGTCCTGAGTTGAGCTTTTATTGCTCAGACATGACAGTGATGTCAATCTTCTCAGCACACTGAGAAATGACGAGTAAGCATACGTAGCCCAACACATTGAACTATTTCTATGTTCCTTGACTGATATGATCTAATGGTGAGTAGTAAACTATTCCAAAGGTTAGAACATGAAATGTAAATAGAGATCGAGGATGTGGCTCCACTTCCTGCCAAAAATAAAGCTCAAATGATAACAGAGACTGCGCTGTAGTTTTTATAGTCGCATGAAACTAATTAAAAAGAATACTGGTTAATGAGCACTTGAACATACTACATACTAGTTTATAACCTGTACTGCAGCCATCAGCCACCATGGGGAGATCCAGATGATTTGGCTTAATTGTGTTCAGCTCTGGGAACATAGTAATGTGACGTGAGTCCCTATATGAATACAACAATTCCAAAGTGTGCCCAGGACCTGCAGCATGTAGAGCCTGAGATGCAATAATTAACATTTAATTTTGAGGTAAAATGAATATTTAAACATTACAGCCAATGCAGGGTGATGACACTGCATTAGAGGATTCAGAGGATTTGCATTCAGTCTACACACTGTGTTACTTTGAAAGTCATCCTCCGCTGCTCCGGCTCCTCAGAGGTCTCCGTCAGCCTGTCATTCTGCCGCCAACATGAAAGCCGTCCATCATGAATGATTCTGCAGAAGAAAGAAGTTCATCCCTCGTCTCTTTTTAACACCGGCTGCATAATAAACAGGTCAGACTGAAGTAATGAGTCACAGACACACAGTGGCCTCTGCATTCATGGCAGAGCTCTAACAAACTGCTGCTCTGTTGTACATTTCTGGCACAAACAGAAATATCAAGCTACAATTATACAGTCAAACATTCACTTGTGCACACTTTTGACAGTCGCAAAAGGCTGCGGGCCTGCAGCTACTTGATCAACATGACAGGCTTTATGCATGTAAGTGGGTAGAGGGGAGGAGTGATCGGAGAATGACAGGCAGGGCTCCTCAGCCCCGGGGACACCCTGAGTGTACTGTGCACACACACACTCAAATGCACATCAGTGAATCCAGAACCCCACCAGGTCCGTGTGGGTACATAACCGATGCTTGTAGTGGCAGGTTGTTGTTTACATGGAGCTCATGTTTATTCTAAAGCTACTTACACCTCACTGGCTCAGCCTCAGGCTCCGTTCCTGTGAAACTCCTGCTGACTCGCTCTCTGTTTTCTCTTTGCCTTTTTCTCTGTTGACCTTTTTCAGGCTTTCTATTCTTCTCCTCTCTTTCCCTCCTGACTCGTGACTTGTTTTATTTGTCTTATCATTTAAGATGAAGCATGTTAGACTTCACATTTCAGAGGGCTGTATGGTATAGTGTGATAATTACCTGTTTTCATCTGCGTTTGTTTGTTAGCAGGATTATTCCAAAACTACTGAATGGATTGGAAACTTGGTGGAAGGATGCAATATGGGTCACTGAAGAATCGTTTCAATTTTAGTGTGGATCCGGGGATTTTTATTCTCTTTCTTCAGGCGAGAGGGCAAACATCTGAAATTCTTTCTGACTTCCCAGTGAATAAATCATGGATCTTGATGTGTGCAATTTGGTGCAGCTTGATAAAATTTAAGGCGACTGTTGGTGGAGCATGTGCTCTACTCAGTAACGTTCTAGTTTTCATTTGTATTGGAACATCTCATCATGATATTGCCAGTCAGTAAATATTTTAATGCCTTTTTTCCCATCGCTATCTGTGTCATTGGATTTGCAGTTAAATTACATTTCTTGGGAAAAAGTTAAAAAAACAGAATCAATACTGAATTATCATGTTTTAGCTCTCATAACTCGGCCCACTCCACAATGGAGAGAGACAAGGTCATGAGAGAATAAATAGCAGGCAGACTAGCTAATGATCTATCATTCTGGACAAGCGGCTGCACCCAAGAGCGGGCTGGCTGACAAGATCATTAATAAAAGCTGCTGGGAGAGTGATCGATCGGCTTGATGGATGATCAGAGCCACAAATACTATAAAACACCTGGATGTCAAGCCTCGTCTCTTTGAAGAGAGGGAGGGAGGGGGGAGAAAGAAAAAAAATCTCGACCCCGATGGGGAGTCGTCAGAGGGGATCAAACCCTGGCGCTCAA